TGTGTTTCAAGCATCTTCCGGGCTTACACTTTTCATTCAGCTCCAGAGTGATTCTGACACTTGGTTTGAAACCATATCACTAGGGATATCTTCTTCATTCTCGGTAAATTCTACTTTGTCTTCTGTTTTGTCAGGGTCTATTAAAGATATATCAATGCTGGGATATAGTGTTGGTTCATTCTCAACATCAACGCGGGCAAGAAGGTCTTCCAGAATATTAAATTCTAGGTCGTCTGACTTTGCAAATGGAGTATGTACAGTTATGATCAATAAGTCTGTACACACCCCACCCAAGCCTACCTAATCCACCACGCAACGTATTTTTACACAACCCTCGCTCAACCTGCAGACTTTTTTTTTTTTTTTCCACAGTACCAAAAAATAACCCCTCCGTAAGCTTTTGGTACCGTTATAAGCGGAAATTGGCAAACTTCCAAGCAGCGACAAAGAGAACTAAATTCCAATAATAGAGCATGGGTTTTCAAGGCAATAAGTTTGGATTCCAGTCCATCGGCCATTGCAGAACAATTTGGGTGTACACAGCAGACGGTTTACCACACCATTAAATGAGCACAAGAACTCAACCACTTTGGTTCCAGGTCCAGAACAGGTCATCTAAAGAAGCTAAATCGACAAATTCTCTGCTGCTTACTTTGTCTTGTAAGAAGTTTCTCAAATATATACTTTCGTGACCTCATTCAGGAGAGTGGTGCCAATGTGTGCATCAATACTATCTGCCGCACTCTTGAGCCCAACCTACATTGGAAATGGAGAGGGTGTAAAAGAATTCGACTACAGGAGAAAGACGTGAAAGAAAAACTATGAATTGCATGTTATTATCATCAGAAAGACGAAGAATTGGTGAATGTATGAGCAAGTACTAGTCCCTACTCTGAGAGCTCTCACTAAGATTTTTTCAAGGGCATCAATAGTGATGAGTCTTCGGTACAAAATTCTTCCAATTCACCAGATGGATGGGTTTTTCAACTCCCAAAGGATAAATGGAAAGAATGGGCTGTCAATGAGAGTGAAAATGTTAAATCTTTTCTCTCTTTTATAGTATGGGGGGCTATCTGGAAACAGAGACAGTCAGAATTAAAGGTTATGTGATGAGATGAGGACTCTCCGAAGAACAGATATAGTGTACGCTCCTATATCAAGGTCTTGGAAGAAGGTTTATTGCCCCACTATGTCCCTGGCAGGTTTTTTTTGCAAGACAATGCAAAAATTTATATTGTAAAGATCACCAAAAAGTAGTTGGAGTCGCATAGGATCTGGGTATCTGAACACCCTCCTCACAGCCCAGATTTAAACCCAATTGCACATGTGTAGAAGGCTATAAAGAGTATCCTTCAAAAGGACTACGGATACTTGAAAGACCTTAAAGACAATGCCGAGAGTAGGGTGATTTTTGTTACACCACTGAAGAGGGCATGGTGGATGGTCCCCTAAGTATTAATTGACTGCCTGATTGATTCAATGCCTAGGCGCTACCACACAGTAAGAAGAAATTGAGGTTGGTATACAAAGTATTAAACACCATGGCAATAGCTATCTGTCTGTATTTTTATTGTCTATTTAACTAAATCTCTGGTTGCACAATTGATTAATTGAAGTCACGGTTGGGTTATGTGGTAAAGGTGTGGGTGGGGTGTGTGTATGAGGGGGGGGGAAGAAAGTAATGCAACACCCGTGCAATACAAATCCCCGTACGGAAACAATATCAACAACATATAGTACTACCATTTTCCACAACCATATTCAATAAATAAAATAAGTAAAGGAGATAAAATTAAACAATGCTTAGTATTTCCTTAAAGTAAAATAAAAAGAAAATCATAAATCAATAATGAGTTTGGTGCCCTTTTCTTCTAATAACCTCTCTGATCCGCTTTGGCATACTTCTGCAAAGATCCATAAACCTTCCATCAGGAATAGCTTTCCATGCTTCCTCCACAGCTCTGATTAGCTCTTCCTTGCTTGCAACTCTTCCATACCTTTTCCTCAAGTAAGTTTCCATCTCTCCCCAAATATTTTCAATTAAGTTCAGGTCTGGTGACTGTGGTGGCCAGGACAATATATCCACCTCATTCCTTTTTCTACACTTTGTAGAATATCTGTGATTAAACCAGTAGTTAGATTATATTCTTAAGTAAGTATTTCTATATCAAAAAACAGAAAATACAATAATTATAAGGAGGTAGAACCTACCCTTTATGCTCTGGTGTACTATGTTCAACAACCCTAGTCCAACCAAATCTCTCACAACACTCATGCCAGAAAGGAATTAAAACTGGATCCAGAATATACTTAGTATACTCATAAGAATCCACTTTAACCTTTCCTGGTACTACCACTAGCTTTGACCTCAAATCCCCATAAAAGGCTCCCCATACCATAACTGTCTCCCTTCCTGACTCCCAGACCTCATCAATGCAATCCTAATCATATTCCTCAGAAGGTTCTCTTATCACCCATCCTCTCTGCCTAAATCCAGCTGTAGAGAATGAGGTTTCATCAGTCCATATGATTCTGGACCAGTCTCTTAGTTTCCAAGCTCTTTTTCTCATACACCAACCAAATCTAATTGGTATATTTTTAGGGCGCAATTCCCATCTAAAATATCTTTTAGTTATGTAAACACTTGAATCTTCATTAAAGTACTTACTTCTTGAGTGGTTTTCTTTTATTTAAATTAAGACTCTTAGCTGCCTTCCTAATTGTCCTGGATGATGCCTTTAATCCCTTCTCTTCTTTAATATCCTCCCAAGAGAGTCTTCTATTTCCTTTATTTTCTTTAATAAAAGACTTTGGATTAAGTAGATCAGACTCCTGGAAGATTGGAGGTCTTCCTGTTCACTGGTAGTGGGAAGGACTACCTGTTTCCCGATACCGTTGATAGATACGAGCACAAGTACTATGGTGAACTTTAAGGCCTATTTTTTCCTCCAATTCGGCAGCTATCTTTTTGAAAGACCACTCCGCTATTTCTCAGAGAGCAATAATACGGATCTGGTCATCATGTGTGGTTTCCCGCTTGAAGCGCTGTTGCTTCTTCATCAACGATCGCCGCAGCTCAAGATTTCATGAACTAATTGCTAAATCATTTAATTTTATTATTATTTCAACTTTATGTACATATTCATTTAATTAAACTACTTATGCTCACTTCTGCGGGTTCCCTTTACCCTCATAGTGCTTTTCTGAAATGGTTTAGCAGGTGGTGGGGGATATAGTGAGTATTGTAGTGATGGGGGTTGGGAGTAGAGTTGCAATCTTGTGGGAAGCAGTTGCTACTGTGTCGCACTACTTCTTTCCCCCCCCTCATACAGACTTATTGATCATAACTGTATTATCTTCAAACTTTGCTCTTTTTGTAAATGCTGATATTGTCTTTTCTGGCCAGTTATTGAAAGTTATTGTCTCTCAGATAATAAAGCAATAAAGATTTCTTGAAATTGGTAATAGTCTTTGGAAGTTCCAATACCTTGGTTGACTATAAATATAGTAATACAGAGAAAAGATAAATATACTTAAGTACCTTGAACATCATTCTTCTGTCCCCCTTTTTCCTTTTATTTCCTTTTTTTTCCTAATCACGGCATCATAGGTCATGACTTGGTATGTTACCATGCCAACATACCACAACGAATAACCTTTCTTGGGCACGACATTCCGCCAGACCTCACCAAAAATCACTCATGTTTAAATCCTTTTAACTTGTCGGAATATCTCGTATGTGAGGTGTATGGTGGTACTAGAAGTTCAATAGAGAAGTGTAGGATTTTAGAATAAAGATAAGAATTGTCCGTTTTCTCTTCTACTTGTTACTTGGGTACAAGACGATGGTACTTATACCTCAGAGAGGTATCTATATACAGTGGTTATGAGCGAGAATCCACTATGCCTAACCAGGCGTGCTTCCGTCACATTGAAGCCATTATTCCAACATAACTCAATCAATTTTGATTCAAATCAAATTATCTCTCTATTTGTGGCTTCTCTATAGCCGTACCTATCTCTAAATAGAGCTATTTCTTGGAAAAACGTTCTTCAAAAGTTTCCTTAGTGTGTTTAGTTCTGAACACATTTTTCGCAATTGTGCTCCGGTATAAGGCTTCCCCCACCATACAGCCGGTAGCGCGGCGCTGTTTCATCGCGAAGATCAACCCAAGCAGATTGGGTCGCCCGGAAACTACCACACCGGGTCTAGCCTTTTCCAAGTCATTCCGCAGCCCATCATAGGCCGCATCCCCAGTCCAACCCTCCATTCCCCACACCGAACCCTTCCCGGTGTCCGATAAAGGAACCTCCGTCACCAAGATCTTGATCTTGGGCTGGTCCCTGGCGAACTTGAAGTCTGGCAACCCGAATTTCCACATCAGCACGGCATGGCAAGCCGGAAGCATCTCCCAAATGCTATCAGCCGTGTGCGAAGAAAGGGTGAGGTAAATGCACTCAATCTCACCCCTCATCCTGGCTTCCCTAATATATGGGGATATCCCCCCAACCTTGGGGTGATTAGCCAAAAACGAGTTGATCCGATTGCGGATCATCTCACACGACACCCCTACCGGAAGCACCAAACTCTTCCTCGTCGCAAAACGCATGGTCAAGTGACGCTGGCGTCCATCATCACGGGGGGAACTCGACGCCACCCGTGACTTCCCACCATTCACAGTTCGAGGTGTGGGGGCACTCACCTCTGCCATCTTGACCACCTTCCCCCTCCAGGCCACTTCCACCCAAGCCCCAGAAGCAGCCGCAGCCGGACCTTGCGGCTTCCCCATCCCATCGGCCCTAGCCACCGGAGGTTTCTCCACCACTCGGGTCCGGCCACTCTCGGCCCCACCAACCTTCCCCAATCCCCCAGCCTTAGGTCCCCGAGGGATCGCCAGCAAACTCGCTCCCTCCTTGGTCTGCGCCTCAGCAGCCTTCACCTTAGTGGCTTTGGGGGCCGGAACATTAGCACTCTTAGCCACAGTTCCAGTCGTCCATCACAGGGGGGGGATCTATGTTTGGGCGCCTCATGGGCCACCCGGAGGTCTCGGATCTCGGATTCCAACCGATCAATCCGTTCCTCGTGCTCCTCCACCAGCCGGAGCAACCTCTCAACCACCCCACCCAAACCAGCCTCATCCAGTCCGTCACTCTCAACAGCAGGCACATCACGCCCCACTGCGAGTTCGTCCAGACACTCCAACATCCGGACATCCACCAGGCTCGGGGGGGGGGGAGCTCATGTCAATCGGAGTCGACGGAACCCACACATCATCCCTACCGCCCACCTCCGTAGAAGGCAGCGTAACCTCAACACCACTCAGGGCAGCCCACCTGCTATCCCCAAGCCCATCCACCTCAGAGCTCCTCCCACCCCCGAGCTCCATCCTTGAATCACCACCCTCCACCACATCCACCGGGGGGGGCAACTCACCTCACCAGCCGTGTCTGCATCCTCAGACACCGCCAACATCTTCCTACCACCCTCAACCGGCACCCTCTCGCGGGCGTCGAAGTGGCATGTTGGAGATGTGGACCACTCAATCGCCTCGCTCGGCGGGTCCGACAACAATCTCCTCCCACTCATCCTCACCGGCTCGAAAGGGAATGCCCTTTTGGGTACCACCGGGGGGCGACGCGGCAGCAGATGGTAGTGCCGGGGATGGTGTGCCGGCGATCGTCCTGGTTGGTCTTGCCGCAGGCCGAACAGCTCCTCGTTTCACAGGAGACACGTAGTCCCCATCGCGCGAATCCTCATCGCAGAACTTCCGGTAGAGCTGATGCTCACCGCTCGAAAGTCCGGATAACAACCCGTCCCCACTCCCTCCAACCACTTTCCCATCCGGTCCAACCTTCCAATCGCCCCCACGGAATTTCGTTATCCTCTCAACAGGGATCCCGTGAATCGTGGCCCCACTGGGCCCATGACTCCATTCCCGTGTGGCAGCCCCCAACTGAGACTCCCCCACCAAGCTCGTCCCCGAAACCCACGTCGTAGTCGAGCCTCCCATCGTTCCAGACGGCAGGAAGCTGGACTTCCCAGCAGAATCGTACCTTCACCAGTGCACCCACATGCACGCAGGTAGCCCCCAACAATCCCTTCCACCTCTTTGTAAGTCCGGGGTCCAAGTGACCGGACAGTCCCACGAACTTCCTCGTCGAAAACCCCAACACAGGCATTCCGACAACCGTAGATGTGTGTAAACTGGAGGAACGAAAAGTCCCACCCAGAAACGTCGTAAGACCACGTAGTGATCGGAACCAGGGCGCGGCCGCCCCCGGGAAGAGTGCCGGAGGGCCCAGAACCGGACCTCATCTCAGCAGAGGAGGAGGAGGAGCACGAAGAGGAAGAGGAGGAGTCGCGAGCCATCTCTGGGGAGGCCAGGATGACACAAAGTCCCCGGGAGGGACCTTGCGGGAATCCATGGGCATCACTTCCAAGAAGCAGCCCCAGGAAATCGTAGTTAATCGACGGTGTAAACAAAAACTGTTTAAATGAAGCCGTGATAATCTGGTATTAACCAATAGAAGGAAGAAAGTAAAAGGACAGGGAAGAAAGAACATGATATCTTGTCACTGTCTAAGGGATTGCCTGCTTGGTCTAAGGTGGGAAGGGGCGAGAGGCTTAAGAGGAGAAAACTCCCATGCCAAGTGCTCCCCCTTCTCGAACAGGAAATTCCGCAGGGTCAACCCCTACCAAATACATGACCTTTTCCATCCTACCCATCCTCCGCCCTCACCGGTACTCTCTCGTGTATCATACGGTACCCGAGTATTTGGAACGGGAACTGAACCTCACACTAAGACATCCAGGATTCTCTTCTTTGGAATACTCTAGAGGGAGGAATAGCCTCGAGAAAGAAAGAAAAAAAAACTGACCCTCAGTCCTCCGCTGAGGACGTACAAATGGGGATAAAAACCAGACCATACCAGGAGCGGCAACTCCGACGTCCTATAGGTACCGTAAAAATCTCGTGAAATCCGCCATCTCCAGCCGCCCACGATCCCCGCCGCTAGGCCTTGTACTCGAGTATCTATACAGTACAATGGTCTGTGAGGTTAAGCGCACAGCCTTACGCTCGTAACGAGGCTGGATAGATCCCACGACATCACGTTTAGTACGTAGTCGGTAGACTATCCCTTCCCAAACTTGCGCTTCGTCAGAGCGGAGATGGCGGATTTCACGAGATTTTTACGGTATTGGCGATCCCCCAGTACTCCGGAGGCATGATATCCCATAACCTGAGGAACTTGAAGAGTCGCAGCAGAGAGCACTCTAGCCTCCTTGGGGCCACTGGAAATGCATCTTTCTAAGGCACGGTTAATTAAGCGAATTCCGTGGAGTTGACTGGGAATACCAATAACATTATTATTATATTGGTGTGCTGACTAGTCTCTCACCCAGACGCTTGCTCAGCCAGCAAACAATTTACTGCACCCTGACCTTTACCAATACCGGTAGGCAGGTATTATGGCTGGCAAGGTGCTTTCCCCGGACGGTGGGTGCCCAATAGCGGGGGCTCGCAGAATACATGGGGAGAAATCCGTGCGCATCTGAGCGCTCATACCATCTCACCACCCCTGCTATCGGATACCGCCTGCCACGGGTACGGTAGACCATCGGCAATGGGGTGCTGTCAGGAAGTATAGTACGAGTATCCTGGTCGGGGGAGTTTAAATTCTACTTTACCTGTGCCGGGGGCGGGGGGGAGTAGGGGAGAAGGGTCGGTGGGTTCCAGTGAATACCGGGAAGTGAGTAGGGAATATAATACGGTAGTTAAGGTAGTTAATTATGGCGCAAGATCGGTACCGCGATAGCACAGTGGTCTACGATACAAGCACCGAACCAACTCAGCAGACCAGAATGGATCGGATCGCTAAATCGCTTACCCCAGCGCGCGCGCTACTCAACGCGACAACACCCTCACATGCTGTAATTATCATCTGCTTAGCTGAAAGCCCCCTCGCCTCATCTCCGCCCTCCCCCTTGAAAATTATGATACCCAGTCCACACCCATTAATGCGCTCTTATCTAAACCTTGTGCAGACACCAAAAAAAAAAAAAGACCCCTGCAAGGATCTCATCACATCCCATCACTCGCTTTCCAAGAAAAGTTACCTTTTCCTAGCTTCATGGGCCCAGGTGAAGGAGTAACTATTATTATAAGATCCTCTAGTGTAAAAATGAGGAATGTTTTTATGTGCAGTGGGGAATTGATGATCGCGTTCAAAGTAGCTAAAGGGGGGGAACAGGTATGGTACATATATGTCCTATGATACTTGGATTACGTGTACTCCATCCTGCCGCGTAATCCTCCTCATACATCTCCATGTCCACAATAGTGCATAGGAAGCTGGTAACAGACAACAACCCTCTAACGGGATCAAGGTACCAGACCATGATATCTCAACATCTGGTGATGGCGCGTCATCGTTCTAGCTAGCGGTACCTGGTAAGAGTTTTCCAGGCGACTATGGCAGGTTACACGACACTGCGCGCTATAAATATATGCGCCTACTATGATACAGAAACATGATCCTCGCCCACTAGCTAACGAATGAGAGATGAGCAGGAAATATATTTCACTTTTCTTTCCTCCCTTCCTTTCCCCTGCACCGAGATTTGAGGACTTTTTTTGTGTAGATTTAACGCTTCTACTACGGGACTCGTAGTAAATATCCATCGCTAGCGCCATCACTCTGCTGACTGGTATTGGGACAACCAAAGTGAGGGACTACACTGGTTAGTTACTGCATAAACTAGCGAAAACCGGGGACTAATTTTACGCTGAAATGATAAGCGGGTGCAGTGAAACTTACCATTGCATCTTTAACAATAGAATTTATTTATCCTTGTATCCCCGACCCGGCCTTTGCGTCAATATCAAAGCCTTGAAAGGTTTGGTCTTGGCTATGAAGAGTTAACTCATGGCGCTTTATTGCGGTTCAGAGATAATCCTATTATGGGAGAAAATTCTTATTCGGACATACTAGCCCCTGCCGGTTTTTCGTCAGTTTATGTATCATACCAGTAGCTGGGGGAGACTAGGGGGTGTTTGGTGCTTCATGATTTGAGGTTGACATTTTTGATAATCAGTCTTGGCAATTTTGACTCCGTTGATTTCAAGCAAAATCTGTCGGGATTGGGGTTATGGACTAACTGAAATTATCAGATTTTTTTTTTTTTAAAAAAAATCCAAGACTGGATATCAAAATGCCAAGACTTAAATTCAAATCGCGAATCATGGGCATGCCGAACACCCTTCCAGTGTCCGCGTCGCTGAAGCATTCTAGGTATCAGGATTTGGCCGGCGGAATCTGCACTCCCCAATTATCATAACTTGGAGCCTGGTTCAAATAGCGAACCGCAATTAACACCATACCGAGGGGCCGTTGCCAAGATCTCGCCTATTCCCCGGGCGCTACCCAGGGCGCTCCCGAAGAAGCGCCTGCGTATTATAAGACATCAGCTCTTACACCTTAATCTTAAAACACCATACCGCTATTGTTCTCGGATAAGGCTGTAAGCGGTACCCATGAGAGCAAACGAGCAGATCTCGGCTGATACGCACCGTGATGCGGTAGCGTAGGAGAGTCAAGCAGGCCGTCATGGTGAACCTCCACACGACCTCTGATATTGTATGTAAGTCTCAAGTTCGCTCGCCCCCCCTTCCACTCACAACCCCCCCTACTATGATACTACCCATTCCACCCTACCTTCTTTTTTCCCATCGATTGAGTTGATCTCAGGTTCTTTTACAGCCACCTCTTTCCATTTATCGTTCTCTAGTTTCTCCGCCGCGCGGCTTGAGCGAAGAAGAGGGAGACAATCAACTGTATCGTTCCAAACCTAATGAAAACACCGGCATTATTTTGGACTTCTTCGGCGGTAGTGCTGTTTGCGCGGGTGGGAAATTGCGTGGATTTCTTCGTACGGCAGGATCCTAGTGCTTGTACGATTGAAGGGCGGAAGAAGCTTTGCGGTTTGTTCTTTCTTGCACTTATTTCCGGGAGGGAATTGAGCTGAACTGTTGGGGTAGATCCCATAGGTGATAAAGATGGAATGTGCGGGTATGCTCCGGATGCAGGGCTTCTTTGGTGCTGCGATCCATACGATGAGTATGTATCTGCCTGCTCACCTGGCCCAGGACGTTTGGATTCTAACGGGGCGGCGGTGAACAGGTATTGCTGGGGGGGCACGCAAACGTGTAAAGGGAATAGAGGCGGACTGGATCAGATTTATTGTGAGAAGGGAGGAGCTAGTGAGTTTGCGGCAGCGTTCTGAGATTCGTAGATCTTTGGGTGGATGGTGGTAACTGACGATGCATCAGCTTGGTGTTGTAATAAGAAATACGAGAGTTGCACGGATGCAGAAAATCAGATAAATGTCTGTGTGCCAAAATCTTTCAGGAATCCCGTTGCAGATGGGCCGGTCTCTCTAGCTTCGGCTTTCCGAAACTCAACGACATCACCATCTACAACAAAGACGTACTCTCCACCCCCATTATCATTAACAACACCAGCATCCGTAACAGGGGAGGCCATTTCATCCGGAACAATACAGATAATCACTAGGAGCATGAGATCCAGGGTTACTACCAATGCCCTGGAGCCTCTAGTTACAACGCCAACATCAAATGAAGCTGGAGCAACAGCAACCAAGTCGACATCGGCAAGCGATACTTCGCAGGCGGTAGAAACACCACCAACAACGGATCCCCCAAAGAAATCCCTCAGTGCTGGTGGAGCATGTGGAATTGTCTTGGGAGCCTTATTTGGAATAGCGATCCTCTTTGAAATCCTATACCTTCTTCGTGAGCGCCGTCTGAAGCTTAAAGCAGGCAGAAATGAGAAAGTGAAAGGGCAGGAGGTTATCCGAAACAGAGCGTGGAGCGACAAGGAGACTTTCACTGGCGCTGAGGTCAGATCATACACGGTTACAAAGTGGGATTCGCAGCTTGGGACCAAGAGCGGAGGAGAGCCAGGCGTTGAGTCTGCCGCACGTGGGCCATCAGTTTGGGCAACTGCGGTTGTTAGCGAGGTGAATGAGCTGGAGGCGGAGGTTCCTGTGTCAGAAATGCCTGCCGGAGCTGAGTGTTTAGAGGTCTGATATGAGTAGTGCTAGTACACTACCAACCATGACCTCTCTTTCCTCCCTTAATCCTTCCCTACCTCAGCTCAATCCACCCCGGTCGACTGTCCCTTTTTAGTCCCTCTTCTCTTCTTTTAACTATTTACCGGCTACATTGTATAATATGGGCTAAACTGTACTGTACTCTGCTCCTCGTGTGCAACCTGAAGTTCTCTAGATTGGAGCTGAAGATGATTGAATAAATTCTAATTTTAGTACCTTGGAGACGTTAATCGCTTGGGTAGAAGGAGCAGTGGTAAGTTGGCTTCCTAAACGGTCCTAGTGATTTCCCTTTGCATAAAGTACCCCTGCTTGATTTAGATATCGTCTGCTCGAGTACTGTACTGTACAGCACCAGTACCGGCGCATGTACGAGTACTGAATCTTGGCGAGAGGTTTGTGCTCAATTCTCACTAAAATTAAGTACCGCACCAAGTGTTATGGAAAGAGCTCGGGGGAAAAAGAAAAAGAGCCCGAAAATTATTAAAGTTAAGGAAAGATGATAATAATATTATTATCGAGGTAAAAAAATCGTGCGTATATGGGTGCCAATACGGAATATGCCTCACAGTTTTCAGGTATCATACTTCTGGTAGAGAGAAGAAGCACCAAAGGCTAGTGATCGCCGCACTAGTGTGCCGGTATTTCTTTGGGTAAACTTGTAGAAAATGGCGGTCCTTAAAGCCTGGCCTCACATCTAACGGGACCAACATGTGGCAAAGAGCGAACGGGATCCCAAGATTTATTTCCCTTTCAACTTTTTGTCCTGATAACTGTCCGTCCATAAGCCACCCCTCTTGAATTTCGGACTTCTATTGCAATGAATCCAAGTACGAGATTCTCTTGAGCTCACATATTCCAGGAGAGTCCGAAGAATTCCAAAGCCCATTCGAAACCTTTCTAGATCATTGACCCCTCCCCGACAGGAGAGCTCCCCCAAAGAAGGGGTTTCACTTTTTCTTTTCCTCCCAACTCTTGTGGTGCTGTCTGGTTAGAAACGAGGAAAGAGTTTTACGCTCTAGTTTCTTGGATCGCAGAATTTAGTATCTCCTCAACCTTTTCTTAACGTTAAGAAACAAATCCTCAATTATGGTTCCGTTTATCTCACCTGTTTCGGGGGCGTGGTGTTCCTTTCCTCAGCGGGAGCTATTTCTATTGCTCAACTATCCCTTCCACCCTCTTTGGCCTCTATTTCTCTCCCAAGTATATTTAGCACTGGTGGGAAGAAAATCGCATTGTGAGGACTTCGAGGCAAGTCGACGCGCGATGTGGTGTGAAAAGCTCAAGTAAATGTAGCTGTGAGAGTGCCGAGTTATTTATATGATACCGCACCTGACTGGGTTATCTTGGAATTGACCGTAAGGTTAGGCTGGAGGTGTATGAGAAGGTCCAAGAATATCAATAATCTTTTGTCCCATTGGGTCCCGCACCCGCGGAGCATCCGTGCCCAGTGCCCGGCCACATACAACCTGCTGAGGTCTGCCATTCGTAAGTGGTGCTAATTATCTATGCATCCCAATCCTACACTTATCTCGCCATTTTTGAAATTATTCCATCCCGGTTTCAAAAGCTGATCCACTATGAAGCAACGAATCTTTGAGTTTCATCTTGTGTCTGGATACTCCGAGGACATGCCCTTGAGAAGGAACCCGATTCGTCGAACCGCTCTGCACTAGAATTGCATAAGCATCTCACCCTACAGCAATATCACTGTTGGTCTCTGAATACTCCTGATAACTGCACATCGCCGCTCCTCCTGCGTAATCTAGCCACCCGACCGGCTTCTGTATTTGAAAATTAACACTGCTGCCATGAATATGAGATTAGAAGAAGCTTCTTGGTCCCCTACAGCTTTGAAGGGGAATTTCCAGGAAATGGAAGGCAGTACCTGATGGTTTAGCATGTCTCTGAGGGTTTCGTGTATCTCTTGCCGTGCCATGTGTACTGTGCAATTGACTCCAGCACACCACAATACCGTGGTAGGAACTTACCGGGGGGGGGGGGTGCCCAGTTATGCCTCTGGTGTCAAAAGCGCCTCTGTTCATAATACACTCTTGTGCAGCACCGGAGGGAGATGGCCTAGGTTCAGCTATAAAGCTCGGAGGGAAGAAGAAGAGAAATTGGCTGTGAGCATCCTGAACCGAATCGGCGGTCGGAATTTCCCGCTGGAAACAAACACAGTGAGACAAGTTACGAATACACCGCGGGGAAAAAAAATATCCGGCAGGATGAACCGATGTAAGCTGGGTACTATATATCATAATATGCCCAGTTCTCAGGGGAAATTTCAATGCCCAGCCAGGTTCCGACACCGGTTCCGTGCGTCGTCTACTCTGCACCAGGTTCAGGCCTGCCATGGCAGGGATTTAATTCGCAGGCGGTTTTCAGGTGCTCTTGTCACTAAGTTGGAAGGTGTTGCTAACGTAATGGCTATGCGATGAACTATACACTCGAGTTTCGGGGACATGTCTTTACAGCTGAATTCCCTTAAGCCAATACGCTCCTTCCGGCCACCTTGAATTTTGAAAACCAGACCGGTGGCTCGTGAGCTCGTTGTCGACAGTTGAAGAACGCCTTGCTTGGATGGCCTAAGCTATCATTCATGAATAAAGGGGAGGGAGAGGTTGGGAGAGAATGGCTTCGTTACAATGACCGAGCAAAAGTGTGACTAAATACTAGAGAGGTATGCCTTACTGTTGCCCCCCCATGAAAGAAGCATAATTTGGAGATACGAGTACTATTCCCTCACTGGTAACTTGAATCTCGGGAATGTTACCGGATCGAAGAAGATCCAGTAGCCAATCGAACAACCATGGTTTAACGTTTTCTTTTTTTCCCCTTCATTTAGTTCTACTTCATGTATCAGGAGATATGACTATCTAGCATCATGAAGTATGGCTCGGTACCATTTCTGGTATTCGCCCCCCCTCCCTAGTAAGAGGGATCCTGTGGGACTGCTGGCGGTAGTGCCACGCTAGTACTAGTATAATTGACTGTCCATAGTCAAAGCCACACCACGTAAATTATTTCGTGCAGTTACGAAGCTGGCTCTCACAATTTCCATCGAGCACCTTGGAGAAATTCTAATGCCTGTAGCAGGTACAGCGGCCCCCACCATGCCAAAAACCCCAGTGGTTCTGTTTCCAGCTAAACCAGGGCACGCAGTACTCAACCGATGTGTCATACAAGGTTGTCACGGATCTGCATCTTTCCGGCAAGGTCGTAATGGACGCTTAGGCTATACGTGCTCCACGGTGGGTTGGTCGGTTAGCCGGCAACTTGCTATTGACTTCAGATCGAAACTGCCTAGGCGCCCAAGCGGGGCTACATATTCTATGTTCACTGATATCACTCGACCCTTCAACTAGTCATCTGTCCGAAGCACTGTACCTCCCTCAACATGATGGAAACCGGCTGCCTTTTACAAGTGTAATTGCAGATGTCTCTGGTGCATTTACCGATAGCGGTATAAGGGAAGGTTCTTTATTAGAAATCAATACTCCCCCATATTGCCATATTTCTCGGTCGATTACTCTCTCTTTGATCGCTCACTTCGCGCACTTGACATCCAACAACGCTGTCGAGTGATGGGGAAGAGTCAAACCTTAAGTCGAACTAATAGGCTTGGGGAAGTTGAGTGAGGAAATATATGATACGTATCATACGAGGCCTCCAACGATCTCCCTCCCTGGCAGGACTCAGCAATTAACGTATACCGGAGATCTTGCTTTCACCCCCCTTCTCTCTACAGCGCCAATTGTGGAAATTTTCATGAGGTTCTACGAGGTTACTACAAAGGAATCAAATCTATGGCGTTGTTGGAAGAAGACTGGTAACCTCGGTGGGGTAAATGTTCGGGTGCTTGGGTCGTACTGTACGCTATTTTCTAACATCACCAAGTATGAAAAGATGATAGTGAACTGCGAACCAACAGGGAACGGTGAGAGAGTAATCAATCTTGTATGTAAGTTGTCTAATTTAATACCACAAATTCCCAGAAGAAAAGGGCAGGAGGGAAGAGCACACAAAGAAATAAATCTACATTTCATAACATTTTCCATTAATTCTTCTCATCCGCATAGAATTTCCAGCACCAAAACTCAGCCGTACAGATACGATAGTATTGTACAGCCTAAGAGTCTGGGGGGATGGATCCGGCAATAGTAAACTATATATTGCTACTACGAAAGCAATATAATATGACTCGTGCCATCCAAAACCTATTATACACTAGGCGCACCATTTTTGAATGATTATACACCCCCACCACACTAAAATATTAATTCAAAAAAAAAAAAAAACCCTCCTTCTGGATTGCTAGGAATACTAAGGAGGATTTGTGTTGTATCATAACGTTAGAGTTATTTCCCCCTTCTGGAGTGATTGGAGGTCTTAATAGTGAGATATAATCGATTAAAAGGTTACAGCCTGGTTCAGGTTTTGGATAGCACGAATCATAGATAAAGGTGTTCAAATGCATCGGGGGAGGCTGTGAGGTTGTTTGGCAGTTCTGCTTTTGAAGGGACGGTCAGTATGAGATGTATTTGCTGATCTATACTCCGAAATTCCCCCAAAACGCACTTTTCCAACTGCCGGCAGCCAAGTGTTTGGACACTACGAAATCTATTCCAAGCCTAAACTGCATCTGCGGTTGTCCCCTTTCCAAAGGCTAATATTCCAAACCGCCCTTATGATTCCCAAATATTAACACTCATTTGTGGCCCCAGCTTTCTAGACCCGATTTTACAGCGGTGCTGTTAAATATCAGATCTAGAGAGCCAAAAAGCGTGGTATTTGGCTATGTGTCTAGTTTCTCGGTGTTGACATCTTCCCGTCGCAGCGGTAGTTCAAGTATTATTCCACACTCATTGCGGATCGCCCAAGAGAACAGCACAAGATAAAATCCCCTGGCTTCTCGTATCTAATATCATGCCGTCCCAACAGCAGCTTCGTCGCTACGTACTGCAAGAGCTCGAATAGTTGAACCTGGTGCTAAGACGTCCAAAATCCTCTCTTCCGGACAGGGGGGTAAAAACACAGCGAGCTTCAATCATTTGAGTTCTTATGGTAGTACCCACCTCCAGTAGACCACCAAGGTCTCATTCGGCCATACTCTGTACTTGGTCTGTGAGATTGTCACCCCGGGTCCTAACAGTAGCTTCATTACTCCATCATGCCCATTCTGGGAAGCCCATGAGAACGGTGTTTGGGCGCAGGACAGGTTT